TTAAATACAAATCTGAAATAAAGCAACTTAAAGTTTCTATCTATGTATTTCTACGTATGTACTTTATCTGACGTATCTTCACACCATCAACAGTCTTAGGACAGTTCCAGCCATGCTTAAGGACTGGGCCAGCATCAGTTTCCCACACAGGCTTTGACTCTTCTGCCCTGACAACACCTCCGCTTGGCCAGGCTTTATTCTCACCGGTGACACCCAGGAGGCCCTCAGAGCCTGGGGCGCCCTGGCTCAGCAGTCCCCGGCTCAGCAGTCCCCGCTGTGCTTCGCAGAGCCTGGGGCCCTATGATGGGAGACTGGGGGAGGGGGAGGGCTGACTCTGTGGTGAAGTGGGAGGGGCTGCCATGACTCCTGGAGTGGCCGGGGCTCTAGAAAGGAATGCCCTACAACCACCCACCGGGCAGCACAGGCCCCAGGAGCTGGCGGGAGGGTCCCAGGCCGATGACCTCAGTAGGAGCAGCTTTCATAGAGTCCTGGCCAAGCAGAGCAGGACGGCCCTGAGGCTCTGGTTCAGGGAAGCCTAGATGAGATCAGGCAGTGTGAAGGAGGACACACTGGCAAGACGGAAATAGAGAGCGGCGAGAGCAAAGTCATGAGGAGCCATTTACCCACACGCCAAGGACAAACAGAAACACGCCGCGGCGAGTCAGCATAATGGACAATTCCAATGCTGCCCCGAGGCCACTGTGAAAAATATCTGGATCAAAAACAACGATTTTAAACATCCTGCTAACTAAAGAAATGTTAAGCCTTTGTAAAATCCTAGCACGTGAGTGACGGGTACACTGTCACCGTGCATAAGCAGGCCTTATTTATAAGACACACTGGCAAACTCAATATTGAGGTAAGGGCCAAGGGAGGTGCCCTGGGGACCGGGCCTCAGCCTTCCATCCGCTGAGCTGACTCAGCCCTCACAAGGCAGACGACCAGGTCCAGACTGGGAATATGAGGATGTGCCAGAACTCTGAGGAGAAAGCCCTGACCCCCACTCCCGTGTCTGACAGTCCCCAGCCACAAATCCCACGGGCAAGGGTGAACTAGGAACTCAGGAAACATGCCAGGAGGGAGAAGCTGGGGCGGGAACAGGGAAGCCACGTGGACAAAATGCTGACACCCGGAGTGACAGGACCTGCAGAGGCATGGCCTTCTTACTGTGCACTGACCTTCCCAGGAGTGGTTATGTGAAACCAGAAGCAGCTCAGAACTGGCCAGACTGGGCACCATGCCGAAACCGCCCCACGGCGAGCACTGCCGCATGTGGGCTCAGAGCCCGCCGCGTCTGTGGAGCCCTTCAGTGACCCATACACTGCAGCACGGGCTGGTTCCACTCCTCTCTCACACCGTGGAGCCGTGCCCAAGCAGCCAGAGTCAAATACGTACATTTCTGTCTGGGGTAACTGATGCATAGTTTTGGCCATGCAGTAAGTTATCTTACACATGAATTTCATTTCAGAATAACGGAGGGGATGCTACCAAATCTGTATCACAAAAAGAAAGTTTCAGGTCAGCCTAGTTTAAGAACTACTATCTAGTAACGACAACCTAGGCCCCAGGTTGCCCTTTCGCTATGAAACCTGCATGAGATATGGAGAGTCGTGTGTACTGCAGACCCTACAGCTAGGGGGAACAGAGGCAGGCCGGGGGCATGCGTGTGCGGTCCAGGAAGACAACGTCCTTGCTTACAGCCTCATTTCTAACAAGTCTAAGCAAGTGGTACTGGGTGAGGAGCAGGAGACCTGCTAATGGTCAACCTTTACCTGCTGTAGGAGTGGCCTGAGCTGGCCACGCCAACGCACATACGACTCACACAACTATCTGTCTATAACCTAGTCCATGAGACGGTCTCCCGAGACAGATGCACTTCCGGGTTAATTTTCAAGTCAGTTCAGAAGCCTGCAGAGCGTTTCCATCCCGGTCACCAGAGGTGCTGGTCCAGCAGCAGGCAGCCTCTCGGGTCCCAGTGGGACTCACAGGCAACCTTTGTAACTCCTGACTCTACTAGTAAACTGTAAAACCTTCATGCTTTTTTTTTAAGCAAAGATTTAAGAGCATGAAGGAGGGGGAAACAGGGTAGGGTGGCGGTACTGGACTGCTTTAAAACATACAATAGAGAGCAGAAATAAAGCTGAAGCATGAATTACCAATTAATACATTTAAAAACATACTTAATGACACTAACGTTTAGGCCACAAAGCAGCAGCATGCAGCGTAGACCAACAGAATCTGAACAACCCCAACCGATGCTCCCACTTCCTGCAACGGACCACCCACAGCCGAGGCTGGGCTGAGCCGGAGGCCGCCAGTGGGCACTGTATTCACAGCTCTGTGACCCGTCAGGGAGTGGTCAGACGTCACAGTTCATGGGACGGGACCCCCTCAGCCAGTCAAACTGAAGTTGGGGCCACAGGCTGGAAGAGCAGCAGGCACAGAAAGCACCCACGTGCAGGGACAGCTCCTGGCAGGCCTCGGTCTGACTTTAGAGTCCGTGCAGTCTTTCACAAACATCCGCCTGGCTTGAGGCAACAGCTGTGCTGCCTATGACAGGTTTTCTTGGCTTAGAGAGCGTCTGGGTCTGGGGACATGGGGTCACTCCTACAGGGGGTGTAAAAGGTACCTAATCACTCACCACACACAGCAGTCCCTGAGCTGCAGCTGGCTCCCCGCAGTCTGTTACCTGCAGTTTCCCGTAGTCTGAAGATAGGCAGTGGCGCGCTAGCTATCTGGGGCAGGGCCCACCTAACCTAACCGCTGGCGGCACGCAGGCAGAGCTGTGCCGTCGGGTCAGTGGCTTCTGCTGTCATCCGCACCGCGCCAACTTCCTAAACATACCGTAAACATAGCACAGCACGCGTGTACAGGAAGAGACACAGTCTGTCACACAGGGTTCGGTACCACCCACGTCTCAGACCCCCACCAGGGTCTTGCCAAGTATCCTTGACGGGTAAAGGGGGCACTGAACAACCTTGCCGCATCGCGACCTAACCGAGGGCCTGAAGGGAGGGGAGACTCCTCAGATGTTACAGGGCTTGACTCCTCGGCCCTCTGCACACGCAAAGCAGCACTTCGGCAAAGGCGGTAACACCTCAGGGTGCCGCTTCCGGGACACGAGATGGCGAGACGCACAACTCTCTCCACCTCCTACCGACCTTCACCACGGGCAGGTCAAAGACTTCCCGAGCTTCTCCGACCTCGGGGTTGTCCCCATCCTCAGAGATGATGTGCGAGGCGAGGGCGTTGTAGGAGACTTCTTTAGCTTTCCCTGCTTTCAGAAGCTGAATAACCTGGGAAGGAGGAAAGGAGCAACAGGTTAAACGGGAAGCCGCTGCACCTAACCCTTGCCTACAGAACAGTCAGGGGGATAACAGACCCTCCTAAGAAAACACGTCTCTCTAAGGAGGCTTGTGTTTCTATCTTTAAATTATTTCATTTTTGGTCAGCCCCATGGCCTAGCAGTTAAGGGAGCCAGATTCCACATGGCTGAACACAGGGTTCAAATCCAAGACCTGGTGGCCAGGAAGAGACACAGTCTGTCACACAGGGTTCGGTACCACCCACGTCTCAGACCCCCACCAGGGTCTTGCCAAGTATCCTTGACGGGTAAAGGGGGCACTGAACAACCTTGCCGCATCGCGACCTAACCGAGGGCCTGAAGGGAGGGGAGACTCCTCAGATGTTACAGGGCTTGACTCCTCGGCCCTCTGCACACGCAAAGCAGCACTTCGGCAAAGGCGGTAACACCTCAGGGTGCCGCTTCCGGGACACGAGATGGCGAGACGCACAACTCTCTCCACCTCCTACCGACCTTCACCACGGGCAGGTCAAAGACTTCCCGAGCTTCTCCGACCTCGGGGTTGTCCCCATCCTCAGAGATGATGTGCGAGGCGAGGGCGTTGTAGGAGACTTCTTTAGCTTTCCCTGCTTTCAGAAGCTGAATAACCTGGGAAGGAGGAAAGGAGCAACAGGTTAAACGGGAAGCCGCTGCACCTAACCCTTGCCTACAGAACAGTCAGGGGGATAACAGACCCTCCTAAGAAAACACGTCTCTCTAAGGAGGCTTGTGTTTCTATCTTTAAATTATTTCATTTTTGGTCAGCCCCATGGCCTAGCAGTTAAGGGAGCCAGATTCCACATGGCTGAACACAGGGTTCAAATCCAAGACCTGGTGGCTTGAAAAACACACCAGGCACAAGTGTGTGCACCCAAAATCTAGCAGGGATGGAAAACAGAGAAGGGATGCGGAAGAGGTTTCCCTCTCTCTCTCTTTCCAGCAAAAGCGTGTGCCCTCTGGTAAATAAAATTTCTTTTCCCTCTGGGCAATGGGCCAATAAAACATAGGGATGATTTAAAAAGCTGCAGATCCTGACTGGTGGAGGGAGGCTGCTATGAGCCAAGAGACGCCCTGTCCTCCAGACACGGGCTGACGGAGCTGGCAAAACCCAGAGACACACATGGTACAGCTGGGCTCCAACCGGGAGGCTGGGCAACACCGCTTCGACTCGCCCGAGGAGTTCCAGGAGGGGACACACGAGCACAAGCCCTACGAATGCAAAGGCGCCAGTCAGACAAAATACATGCAAAGGGCTGGAACTGGGCAGCGCAGGGCAGACGGCAGGGGCCAGTCTCCTGTGCCATGCAGAGCAGCGCGTGTGCATGAGGGGTTTCCACAGAGCCCCGGAAGGGTCACGCCAGGGAGCAACACGGCCAGACTGCAAAGGTGACTGTCAGCAGTCTGGGCTGGCCACATGACTAGACACGGGTCAGAAAACAACTCCAACAGCCTGGGGCAGGCCCGAGTGACCCAGAGGAGGCCCCGACAGGGAGGTGTGAGGTGGGAGAGAACCAGCAGGACCTGGCACATGGAAGTGGCAGAGAAAAGTCCCCATGAGGGAGATGCTGGGGAGTAACAGCCTCACCCTAAGGAAGAGGTGGGGGAGGCTGAGGAATCACTTGGTTTGGGGCAGTGCCTTTGGGTCTCCCAGACAGGAGTCGGGGCATACCACGCAGGTGGCTGCCAAAGGTACCAGGTGAGTGGATCCCCAGCGCCAAGTGGGAGGTACGCGGGGTAAAGTGCTGGCAATCGGCCATCAGGGGCAGGTGACAGAGGACCACAGTCTCCACGCGGCTGAGGAAGTGCGGGCTGAGACCAGGCCACAGCCAAGCCTCTGGAGAGACGGGGTCGCGCACTAGCGCGAAGTCCACGCCGAGGGCAGGCTGGCAGGGCGCCCACCGCTGCGGGACTGCCAGCGGGACCGCCAGACGATGTCTCATTGGCCATCGGCAGGCACCAACTAGAGCAGGCACCCGCAGTTACTTAATAGGGGGAAGGCGACCACCGGCCAGAAGCCGCCTCGCCATCCTCTTCTTTGACCCCAAAGCATTTTCAGAGGAGCACACCAAACACGCTCCCAGAACTCGGCGGCCCTCCCTGCCTCCCTCCTGTCTGCTGCACTGCTGTCCCCTGAGCCCCAGATGGGTCTTCCTGTCCACAGCACACTCCCAAGTCCTCCTACAACCCAGCGTGTGCACGGCCCTAGCCCCGACCCCTCTCCAGGCCTCCTCTCAGCTCCTCTAACTGAATCCCTGCAACCACCACCCAACTGCCTTCACCTCTCCACTTCCAACGGGCCCAGCCTGGGCTGTGGCCCCCTTCCCCCACGCTATACTGAAAGGCTTTTTCGTTCAGGGATGGTGAGGGTGCCAAAACCCACAGCATCTTTTCAGTCCCGCCCACTGGCCTCTGCCCTACCAGACCAAAGTCCCAACCCTGCTGGACTGCTGCTCCTGACATGGCCCGACCCCTGTGACAACCCGCTCTTCAGCACACGGGTCTCTGCGAAAGTCCTTGCCCTCCTAACTTCTACCTATGTCCAGGGCCAGATGAAATGACACCAACTTAGTGCCATTTTGGTGGTGTCTCCACAGCCCAATGGGGACATCTGTCCACTTGCAGCAGCAGCCCCTGGGCTGCCCAGCCCCAACAGACAGATGTCCCCAAGGGTGAGCGTCACCGTCTCCACCTTTCACCCTGCCTGGTCCCGGTGTGGCCCTTGGCATGTACTGGACGTTCAACACACGGGAAGGCCCTGAGCCCCTCACTTAGGTTCAGAGAACTGGGTGTTTCGGCTCTAAACTTCCTAGAAAATATACAGATCAGAGTGTTTTGCTGAGGATGTTAAGTACTTAGACTTGATTCACAGTTGAGCAAATTACTGTTTCAATTCGGCATGTTCCAGCTTTCAAGTAACATTTGGTTCAAAAGCCAAATTCCTAAGCCGAAATGGAGCACAGGAAGAATAATGGATATTTAAGGGAAAGGGGGTGGGGGAACCAGCAGCGGTGCTAAAAACGACCTTGGTTACACTCGTTTTGGTCACTGTGGCTTCAGCACCTACTTAAATTCAAAGCGGGACGTCTACACGGCAGAAAGAGGATCCAAGGGGCTGGTTAGTAGGGCACCCCCAGAAGAAGCCCTCTAAGGGCATGCCAGCCGCCTGGCACGGCCCCCGTCACTGCACCCAAGCTCATCTGCTAAGCACGGGTCTCCCCTGCAGGCCTGAGCTGGGTCGTCCCGCGCCTGGCCCGTCCTGCTCACCGCCGCCGCCGCGCACCCGGGCCGAACCGAGCGGACAACCGCGTACGCTCCAGAGGCGCAGCTCTGCAGCCGGCTCTCTCCTGCCGTGCTTAGGAGAGGTCAGATCAAACAGATGCGTTATCTAGAAAATGCACTGTATCTCTCGGCGTGAGCCCGAACGAGAAACATCTGAAAAGGTGGTGTTACCGGGATACTTCCGCGCGCTGGATGAGGCTCCCGATTAGGGAAACCAGGAGTTCGAACGGCGGCCCACCTGCAGGCGCGCGGCTCGGCAGCTCGGGCTGGCGCTCCCGGGGCCGCGACCCCGCGGCGAG